ATTATTCATCATCCTAATTACTTCTAGAAGTATTTCTTGATTTTCGATTTCAATTGTCAATAAGCAGATGATTTCTAAAATCCATTTGAATACGACCATGCATTTTCACAATCTCGCTCTTCGAGAAGCCTTGTAAACAACAAAGACGTTTTCCGTATTTTTAATAAGGGGACATTCCCAGTCTTGTATAGTTAGCTTCCCTTACTAAGGGGCCCTAGCCGTCCGATTATTGCCTTTATAATCCCCTTGTATGGTAGACTTTTGACAACATCAAAACGGAATAGTACTCAAACTAGAGAACTTACAATGCTCATGGTTGAGGAAATAAGTTCTGATAGCCATAATGAGTATTATAATTATTATGATTGTTAAATATTTTAAAGTATTCTCATAGGTCAATCCGGTATAGTTCCAACTAATACTTGTGCAAATGATTTATGACATTCTTGTCCTTGTAGACTAAGAAACAGTGGTATAAATCATCCTACACACTAATCTCGCGTGGCCATTAGTCGTCTAACTTTTAAATGACCTCGATTAGGGATAATTTTGATATGATATTCAACGTTCACTTAATAGGTGTTTCTTTATCCAAGACATTGTAATGATACCCTATTTTGAATATTCTCAAATCAAATGGACTCATTATTTAATTCTAGACCACAATAAAATAGTTGGTGGAATAATTAGTAAAATTTTATCCCACCATGAAACTTTTCAACGTTTCATCTAATGATAAATGGTTTTCCCAAAATGTTTTAAGAGTAACACTCTTCACAAAAAATTTATAGAAATCACACCCATATCTAATATGCTTGATTTCTTTTATGCAAATGTGAATGTTGTAGTTCACTTATTACATAGGTTTAGTAATCATTACTTTGCAAATCTTAGCACCTTCACTATAAAATACTTTTAAAATAAGATGATAAAATTCGAGTGTGTTATGGATTACATGTGATTTAGGATTTATTGCGCAAGTGATAGCTCCCACTCATTTTTCATGATTTGAGATCTTCAACTTGGCAACCTACAATCATCAATGTTCAACATCGAACTATCCATCAAACAACTTCCTTATTATTGCCTTAAAGGCAACAATGCTCTCAACTAGGGTTGTTCATCGGTCCAAGACCGAACCGGACCAGCCCAACCTGGACCGAATACCAAAAATTAGAAGTTTATGAATCAAAGACCGGACCGATGAAGCTAGGACCAAACCCGAACAAAACCGAAAGAATCGGTCCAAAACCCGAACCGAACCGCTTTGGACCGATTCAAGAATTTTTTAAAAAAGAATTCTAATTTTTTAAAAATTTTATGGAAAACTCAAAAAAGTATAGGAAAATCTACACTTATAACATCTTTTTTTTGTATATTTAGTACAAAAAAGCTCATAAATTTAAAGTTTTCTAAGCTTATTAAGGATAATCTTAACTATTATTTAAGGTTTCACGCATATTTGTAATCAAAGAAATCTGTCCGGTTCAAGACCGATTTTTATAGGGTTTTGGATCGAACTTGACCCAAGACCGAAAAAATAAATTTTAGACCCAAAGACCGAACCAATTAATTTTGATCCGGTCCGGGGTTGATCCGAGGTGGTCTGGTCCATTTTTTCGGTCCGGAATGTTTTATCGAACCCCCCTACTCTCAACATATACTTTAGTAGACTTCCTAATGATGCTTTGTTTGGATTTTACTCCAACCGGCTCACAACGATTTGAGATACTCTAAACATTTGTGATCAAGGAAAGTTACCTAAACTTTCTGCACATTACATATGGAAACAAGTCCATGTTGCCATTCTCCAGCACGACGCATTTAAGCTTGTGCTTATAAATGGCTTCCGTGCTAAGGATCTAATCCTTGTTAAGGTTGTGCTCGCAACAACAACACTCAAATTATATTTGTTTCCATGCATCATGAACTCATCCTCTTACTTAACCAAATACCTTGAATGTTCTTGATCATAATCTAACGATCCATTACTTAGATTTCAAGTCGATCATTACTTTATGTTGTCATGCTCTAAGAATGCAAGTCATGTGATGATTCCATATTGTAGCATACATGATGGATTCAATTTTAGGACTATTCCCAATTTGATCCCAGTCGTGTGACTTTTGGCTCATCTAGTTTCACCGAGTCTTGCTAAATTGTTTGCTATATGATACGACTGAAAGTCTCTATTATAGACTTTCATGCTTGATTTAGTAGTTTTCCTAGCTTATACTTAATTCAAACATTTACTTATTTCTTATGCATATGGGTCGAAAGCCTTTTCAAATCCTTCATATTTCACACGGTAAATTCCTTTACTCTTTCAAACATTTTATTAATTCTATCTAATAGATCTTAATTCCCACTATGTACTAAGTATCTCCTTGGCTTGGTCCATTATTAAAAAATACTTTCAAATTTATCATTTTTGGTTTTCAATTTTGTGTTTTTTTGAAAACCAAAAACTAAAAACAGGAAACAAGAAAAAGGTGTTTTCATTTTTCTATTGTCAGTTTTCAAAAATTATCATGATTTTAATAAGATTAAATAATTTTTGATTCATTACGGGGCATATATCATATACTTTTAAAAAACAAAAAACCAAAAAAACAGAATACCACAACAATGCCAAACGAACCCCAATTTGATAGTCATTTTACAATAAAGTTCGTAAACTTCTTGTTGGACCATACAAAATTGACATTTGCTCCCACTAAACTTCTTAACTAACATAATTTCTATGTTTCTCAATAAGCCAATTTTTTTTAACTTTACGAAAAAACATATTTCAATTCCTACATGCAACCCTTAATCCACTTATGGATTTCTTAAGCTTGTTTTCAAACCTAGCATTATTTAGATTTACAAAGCCCTTAGACTATATTCATAGTTTCTTCCAAAATTTCATTTTGGAAAGGCGGTTTTGATATCAATTTTGCTTGCCATATTTCATATGCGCAATCATTGCTAGAATAGTCACAAAAAGACTTAAGCATTCCAATCAGTGAATAGATTTTATTAATTTAACGTCGTGAATTTAATTGTAACCTTTTCAAATAATCTAGCTATAAATACATATACATTTCCTTTATTAGTTTTCTCTAGACCTAATCAAACCTTGGGCCGAACCGGGCCGATACAACTTTCTCTTGCCCGTGTATGCAGGAAATGCAAGCCCAAATAGAATTATGATGTAAAGCGTTTGTTAAGCCTGTAATTTCACACATTAATGATGATGATGATGCCATCATCTTCATGATAATAAGCCACCTCAAACAAGTAACAATTTGTAATATCTATTCTCAAAGAGATACAAGATTTATTGTGGTTCCTAATATGCTACACTTTTCCCTTAAATTTGTTGATAACTTTAAATTTTGTACGTTTTAGTGTGTGTTAGCCTACTCTATTGATATGATTTTAAGAAACGATTGTTATTGTAGTTTATTTTAATGTTGTACACATGTTTTATTTCAGGCCGGGCCAAGGCTGCACACGGGCCAGATGTACTGCACCCCGCCCACAAAATATTCGGGCCTACACTTGCTTGCCAAAACCCAAATTTCGAGCCTAAACGTACTGCCCAAACCCGGGAAAAATCCAGGCCGGGTTAGGCTAGGTCAACGGGCTGGGCCAGACTTGATCAAGTCTAGTTTTCTTCTTGAAAACGTATATGCATTTGATGGGTTTTTACCCTTCATGAAAATTAATCAAGTTTCAAACATGGTTTTCAAACATGGAGTCTATTTTAGATTTTATGGCCTATAACTATTTTTGGAATTTGGATTTGTCGTAGCTTTCTTACAAGATTATATTCCCTTACTATCCAATAGTAAATAGTGTACTTGTAAGTGTTAGGTTCATTTCTAACTTAATAGAAACTTTATAGGATTTAATTATATACCTATACAGAGTAACTGCATCAAACACTGAGTTTCAAGGCGCTTCTAAAACCCTTTGATTATTTTGATCTTACTCCAATACTTTTAAAGTTTTGTGAGTAATGAATTCTCTTTGAGGCACTTGTAAAGTCCTTTTAGTATTCATGATCAATTATTCTCATGAAGTCCTTCTATAGACTTACTCCAAAACTTTTAAACTTTTGTGAGTAATGAATTCTCTTTAAGGCACTTGTAAATTCCTTTGAGTATTCTTGATCAATTATTCTCACGAAGTCATTCTATAGACTTTTGAGATTCTCAGTTCTAGTTTATTTCTCATCTCGATTGTCCTCGAGTACATTTTCCTACTACTTGTCATTGTGGAAATGTGTTACTTTCCAGAAAGACACCACTTCGAGCAACAAGTTCTATGTTCTCATTTTGGTTGTGGAAATAATGTCCCTTGTCCCACTTGAATGCTTTACAAAGAGATATGTATATTGTCTTTGGGTAAAAGTTCGTTGCAAAACAAACATTTTGCTCCCTCCTAAGCTTTCTTAGCCCTTTTGAGCCACTTAGCTCCCACTGAGCCAATGAGCTTCCATTGATGCTAAGAGCCCTAGACATATACTTGAAAAGACGTTAGAAAATATTTCTATCCATAACTTAATATGGTGTCCTTTATTAGCTTCAGCAATTTTGTTTAGTGTAACATTAGTCAGTGGTGTATATCTTTAAGAACATTATAGGAAGGGATGTGATCCATCATTATTACAATCATTTTGTAATGGTTTGAGGTCTCCTTCAAGACATGCTATACTCTTTGTGGAGTTGATTATGAAATTCCAATTTTATAACCTTGAGATGATCACTCTAGGTTCAAGAAAATATCACTCGATCTAATCTAGACGTTTGATATCTTGCCAATTTGATTTTATACTTCACCAAACTTTTGAGCAACTCAAGATAAAGTTTGTTCACATTTGATGAATATAGCCATATTCTTTCAAAATCTTGTGAAAATGTCGTTGAAGTAATGGAATCCTTTTTAGCTTTCGGAGTCAATTTTCTATACCAAGCACAATAGCTCCACTAGTGGAAAAATGTCTATTCGTAATGGACAAAAATAGACTATCTGTAACGGACAATGACCGTTACGTATGTGGCCGTTACGGATAACAATGTTATTCGTAACGGGCACTTACGATGCCCATTATGAATAACTACTTATTTGTAACGGGCACTTATAATGTCCGTTACGTATAAGTGCCCGTTACAAATAAGTAGTTATTCGTAACGGACACTTATAATGTCCGTTACGAATAAGTAGTTATTCCTAACGGGCACTTATATTGTCCATTACAAATAACTATGTATTCGTAACGGACTATAAAATGCCCGTTACAAATAATATCTGAATAAGACAAAAAATTAGGGGCATTTGTAACTAGCACCTGGAATGCTATCCGTAACGGCCACATACGGATAGTTACAAATACCCCTATTCTACTTTCCATTCACTACTACAGTTTCTGTATTTTATGGACGGTTTTCTCTCGACGTTGTGGTACTAGCGTCAATGTATGGATTTATATTCCTCTTATTGTCGACGCTTTTTCAAGTCGAAGTCATTTTGGACACTAAAAAGCATCGACAAAGTCACATGACCCGCACGTGACTATTTTTGGTTGCCCGCGATTTCAATTTTTAAGGAAAAAAAAGCGGGGTTAGAAGAAATATACGTATAGAGTTAAACCGCCTAATTAGTTTCTAGGTCAGTCATCAGTGAATTGCGATTGCAAATTTGCTACATCCATCGTTCTCCACTCAAATTCTTCACCCAATTCGTTCTGGAAATTGTGGGAATTTTCTTCTTCAACATGTCAAATTCATCGATTTATAGAGGTAAAACTTCTTTCTTTTCCTTAATCTCTGGTTCGAATTTCATCTATGGTATAGTATAATGTTCGATTTCTCATGTTGTTTGTTTAATCTCTGGCTGAAATCGGAACATCTTTGCCCTTATACGGTTTTGAATTGAAGGAGAACAAGAATCGCGCGATACTTCGAAGAATTCATTGACGGTGCATCAAGTAATTTTCTGCACTTAATTAGATACAATTACTTAAACGTTTTTCAGTTCATAATTTGCGCTTTCAATTTCCAAATTTGTTGTTCCTCAATTTTTCCTTTTTTTTAATTAATAAAAATGGGTCGTGAGTATTCTGAAATTTATGGCGATTTTTATGGGTTTTTTGTTTGGATTTTCTGAATTTTTTCAGCCTAAGAGCAAGATTAGCCCTAGGTATTAAAGCTATACATGACATCAGCAAATCACTTTTAAATTGTCTTAAGACAAGACTTCACAAAATTTATGCATTTATGAAGCAATGTCTTAACAAATTCTTGAATGGAGTCTTGAAATTCAAGACCCAACTTAAGACTCATTTAATACTTTATACTGTATTTTTTTCTATATACGTATAATAAAGCACAACTTTTTTTTTGAAAAATATTATTGTTAAAAATAATTTAGTTTAATTTTATTGAAAAAAAATGTAAAGTGTAAATTTAATTGTAATTGACTGTTGTATTTATTTTTTTTAAAAATTTTTTTTGTTGTATTTTTAATATAAATTATTCCATTATTTGCTATTTTTTGTTGTATTTATATTAATCTAAAGTATTCTATTATTTGCTATTACTTTCATCAACAAATTTAAATTATAAGAAAATGTAAATTTTATGGCTATGGTATTATGTATATATAATTCATGTAATTTCATTATTATTTATAATGTTGTTTCTAGTGGTTTGATATTTTTTTCAGCTATATAAGATATGTAACTTACTACACCATTGGAAATTGTACTGTTAAAATATAATATATATAAAAAAGTGAAATTACAATAATACGTATTTAAGAAATCTTAAATGAGTATGAGGAATAAAGATCTAAATTTAGTTTAATCTTAAGGAGTCTTAACATAATTATAAAATAATAAAAAGTTATTAAAATATGATGTGACATGGGAAAAAAATCTTAAGATAAGACAGGGCTAATCTTGCTCTAAGGTAAAGGTTTCATCAGTAATTGTTTAGTTTAGCTTAATTTCCCCTTTTAATTTTACCTAATTTTCAATAGATTCGCTATAACTCTGGGAACCGATTTAATAAAAATGTTTTGGGTTTTGTCAATTTCTCATTATTATATGCCTGTTCTGCCAATTTCGATTCTGTTCTGCTTAATTTTGTTGAAATTTCGTGGCTAAATCTATACTCCCTAATTCCTATACTTCCTAATTCCTACTGTATTTTTACCAATTTGATCTATACTGCCTAATTCCTACTGTATTTTTACCATTATAATACTTGCATTTATTTTTGCACCCATGGATTTCGAACACTACTCTCTGAAGTAAAGGCTGAACGTTGGTATTACACATGCAATTGAAATTAATAATTCTTAAGTCTGTCTGAAAAATAAACTCAGAGTAACACAATAGATCTAGCCTAATATAGAGGGATAAATAGAACTTTTTTGGCCTATATGGTTGTCTTTGAGATGGAAAGAGTAGGGCAGTGTGTCTTATAGAAACCAAATCTAGAGGAGTGAAATTATTGAAATATATTAAAGTGAGCTATGTTGTGACCAAGCTTTTGTGTTTGTTTTGTCTTGCAGAGATCAAACGGTTCACCTTTACGTGGAATTGAGGAGAAGTTTTCATACGTAGTATTGAGACGAGGAAAAAGACCGCAGTGAGTATTTTATGCTCAAGCTTTACACTTGCAATTAAATTTAATTACGATATAGTGATATACTACTATAGTTATTTTTGCTCTACTCATTATAGATTTGTTTTTTAAGAAAACTTTGAAAAAGACGATTGGGTACAAGATAAAGTAGTCATTTTTATATGAAGCTTTGCTATTCTACGTTTTCCTATAACTTGCAAAGTGCATACCCAGTAACCATATCCATTTGAGGTGTCTGATATCTTGATCTGTGCCAAGACATCAGACACCTCAAATGGATATGGTTACTGGGTAACAATGGTCCTATATACCCTTGATCATATTGCCAAATTGTTGTTGTTTAGAAAATTTAGTTGCCTCTCGGTCAATCTTTTTGTCGATTGACTGATGTGTCTGTAAAGTTGACTCACCTTAAGGTTTTAGTTCTCTTGAACGACAAGTCTTTTCTAATATAACTAGGCCCCTGTGACACTGCTATGTTTTTCATTACTATTTGTAGGCTTTTTGTGCAATCAAATTGTTCAAATTGGGTTGGTTGTTGCTGTTAGTTACTACACACTTCGTGTCTGACCTGTAGCCATGAAGAGGTGCTATAATAGTGGAATGTATTGCAGACTGTTGTAAATCTTTTATTCACACAGTAAATGCATTAAAAATCAAGATAGGAAAAAGTCCAATCTGAGTTTTACATGTGGCTTTTAATGGAGGATGTTATTTTGTTATGAAAATTTTAAACCCTAAACAAATGCTTTGATGCAGTTCCCTTATAATTACATCATAGCTTGCAATTCTTGGAAGCTTTCATTCCATTGGTCACATTAGTGGCCGATCTAGTAATGAAATTGAAATCTGTTGGGTAGGGTTGACCATATTATTGACAACATAGTGAATTAGGAAACCTAATTTATATGTTCTATACTGAGGTCTTTTACTTGCATTGTCATCAACATTCCAGGATTTCTAAGGACTTTTTCCTTGTGAATTAGACTGATGATTCTCTTTTTTCGAATACTTTATGCTTCTGATCCTTAACTGTATTTTGACTAAATGAACTAATTTGATTTTTTGACCAAATGAACTAAAAATACAAGAGAAAAGTTGTTAAGTGTCACAAAATGAGAATAAAAGCTAAGGGGATGGCGTTGATATAGAACCTAATGCCTCGTCAATCACCCATGATTCGAGACACAAAGAGTTGGCCAGTTTCATATCGAGGGATAAGGCTCAAAGCTGTCAGTCCAATACCGGGAAAACCATATTGTTTTTAAACACATAATAATACTTAAAGTTGTATGGCAGCTAATTAATGATAATGTTCCTATCCTCCTCAATAAATAAATATAGTATAAAATCATATTGTTTTTAAACACATAATAATACTTAATTATCCATAACGCCCAGCTTATTCTGTATTTCTGTTATTAAAAAGCCTTGAACGGCTGTAATGCGAAAGTGTAACCTCCTCTAGAAAAGAATTAGTAGCCTAGTAGGCATGGACTTACAATAGACCTCTCAGCAACCATATGATGTGGCAATCGCCTCAGTGCTCCATCAATATTGTTGCTTTCCTTGTATTGTTCCCGAATCTTTCTAACAGCTTCCCTTTGTAAAATCTCAGTCAAGGAAGACTCAGGTTATTTACTATGTACTGTAAATGAAAGAAGTTCACAAGATAAGTCTAGTCAAATATAAAAAATTAATGCAAGGATATCTCCCTCCTTAGGATCAAGAATCATATTAATTGCAGCTCTTAGTCAAATATTTCATCTATTTTCTTTTCTAGATGGGTTAAAAGACATTAATAAGTGAAATTCAACCATGGACTCTTAGTTCTCCATCAGGATCCTTTCAACTAAAATGTGCTAACCAGTTGTGCAAACTATTTCTTTTCTGATAGAATTTTATGTATTAATTTTTGTGTGTGCTCAGTGTTCTAACTTATTCTTGTATTATCTGATATCAGAGAGATCTCCAAAACGAGAAGCAAAAAAGTGTATATGCTAGTTCTGTTAATGAGAAGTTGCTGTATGAATGTTCAATTCTCCAAAAACGGCTTGAAGAATCAAGTGTAAACTTCCTGGTTGAAGAGGAAGACAAATTAGTTCTGGATACTTCACCATCAGATGCTATCGATCTTCTTACCACGTCTGATAATCGAATTGATCTTCTTCTGGCTGAGGTACAATGCCTTTTCATGTTTACTTCATTTTCCGTATTATCTTAATTAAGGTGATCGTTAACACCACCTTCCCTAGGGAACCATTGCTAATCTGGAAAAAATCATAAGCATGCATGGATTTGTTTAGCTTAGAGCAGTAGGATAAATTGTTGCTTTAATCGCTATTGGAAGAACCTATGGTGGTTGTGATATAATTTAAAGTCCCAAAATGCGTGTGCTGAGTTTTTTCCAAGTGATGATTATAATTTATTAGTGGATTGGAAGCCCTAGCACTTCAGAACAGATGAAAATTTATACATATACCCGGGTGCAAGATGCACTAAGGTTTTTTTTTTTTTTGCTAATTTGATGATTCAAACCATCCTTTAATATAATCATCAAGTTAAGCAAAAGATACCTTGGGTGCACCGTGCTTTGTAAACCCTGGTGTATATAAGAACTTAACTAGTAAAATGAAAAGACCCTGTTCGCAAAAACAATCAAATTTTTCAGAAGTGGAATTTATTTCATGATTGTATAAACTAATGCAGTACGTGCTACTCCATATTTTGTATGGTTGTATATCCTCGTGTTATGTGCCAGTGAGCTAATATATGGATTCTCTACTATAAATCTGTAACCCTATACTTTTCCCTTTGCCTTCTATTGTCTCTACCTTCTAAGCCTTGCCTTCCCTGACTTTCGTGAGAAATAATGCAGAAGCACAGAAAAGCAGCAGAAATACCTGTAGACCAAAATAGTTGATGAATCCATGCTTTCCCAAGGCATCAGCAGATGCTTTGATAGTGTCTTCAAAATCAACTGCCATACATTATCATGATTTATGCCAGTTTCAAATGAGAATAAAAGCTAAGGATCAGAACTCTCAGAAGCGAGATTTATTAGTGGCTTGCTGAATGAGCTAGTCAAAGATTTATTTTGCCGTCCTTGTTTCTGTTATTGTTGGATATCATGTTATTCCAATTCTAATATGTTGCTATTTATTCATTGTTTTTATATCAATTTAGATATATTGATCTTTTTGCATAAATTATCTTGCAGTGTTATATATAGTACAAGATGACTTATCGAAGCAAGAGAACAAGGGAAATACTTGCTGCCACAGCTAAGTCACAAGATCCAAAATCATCACAGTCACCAAAGACAACTGCATCTAAGTTTCATGATCCACTATCATATGTAAGTGAATTTGCTTCCAAACCAACCAAAAAACAAGTTGTTCAGTCACCACTAGTTGAGGTTCTTAAGAATGATAAGTGGGGGCCATTTTTTCCACTTTATACAACTACAAAATGCACACAACCACACCTAGCAAACTAGGATCTATTTAGAAAAAACCTCCACCTATTGTACCACATTCAAATAAACTCAACTCCCTTAACAACCCTTTAGCTTCCTCTCCTACTTCTCACCCACCACTTCAGCATCCTCAACCTGGGAAGGGAGGTTCTTAGAACCTTGGTACTAGTGCTGTGAAAACTTTGGCATCAACTCCTATTTCTCACCAACCACTTCAGCATCCTCAACCTGGGAAGGGAGGTTCTCAGAACCTTGGTACTAGTGCTGTGAAAACTTCGGCAGCAACTCCTATTTCTCACCAACTACTTCAGCATCCTCAACCTGGGAAGGGAGGTTCTAAGAAAACTTCAGCAGCAACTCCACAGTTTAATCAAACACATCAAAAAAGTGATGAAACTTCCAATGATATCTCGAAAAAAACTAAGTCTCTACAACCAAAGTCACTTGCCGATTGGCCTGTAGACATAGATTTTGATGATAAGGAGGAGGTTTTGACCATAGGTAATCTTTTTACCTTAATTATTTTTTTTTACTTTATCATTGAGATTCTGTGTGTGGTTACATAAAATAGATGAGTATTAGTTGCATGGTGTTAGTTAAAAGCAAAATTAGTTCTTCAAGAGCCCTAAATCATGTTTTTCAATTAGTAAACTAATGGTTTTTTATTTTTATTGTTTTTGTAGACGCCAATGGTAATACTACATTGGTGAGTGGTATAATTCTGCCAATTGACGTTTGGAGCAATAGTGACCTCAAGTACTATGTTGAATTCAATGATCTATGCCAACCGATTAGGAAAGGTGGACATATATTGGTTAAATTCATTGGTATGATTGCAAAGATGGAGACTCATTGTCCACTTGGAGAAAAAAATTGGCATGCAATCGACAACCATATAAAAGGAAGGATAGTTACGGATATGAGAGTAAGTACATTGAACACTAGCTTTGCATAAAATATTCTGATCAATTATTAGCTTTTTTCAAGTAAGACCAGTTACAAGTTACTTACAAATTTCATAATGTCTTAATAATTAGGACCACTTTGTGATTCCTAATGGTGTGGAATATGACAACCAAGCTCTCAAGCGTGCCAATAAATTCTGAAGACAGTTCAGATTCTCTTTGAAAAAAGAGCATTACAAGCCATATGAGAAAACAGTGGAAGAGATGTGTAATCAGGAACCACCGCATGGAATAAGCAGGAACAATTGGGTAAAGTTGGTGAAGTACTGGGATTCAGAGAAAGCGAAAGTAAACAAAATATTCACTACCACTAATATATTAAGTTTTAATTAGTCTTGGTTCAATTATTTGACAAATACTAATTGGTTGAATATGAGTGCAGAATTTGTCTATAGCTGGAAAAAAGCACGAGCCTTCGTAAATCAGCTTCACAGATCTAGCTCTTATAGCTTTGCAAACCAACAAGCTGATTATGTATGGATTAGTTATATATGTGGCCTTTTATTTAACTTAAAAGAGTGTTAGTCTCAAAAAATATAAAATCAAATAAATAACAATATAGATTTGTAGCATAAATAAGCTAATAAAGTACATATAAATGAATATAATTCTTTCTCTTATTCATATACATTGTGTTATTTATGATGCATCTCATTGACATTGTCGATTTCTCTTACAATGCTCTTTTTGTCATTATTGTTAATAGGAAGATGAACATGGAGAAAAAATGAGCTTATTATCTCTTTGGATAAAAGCTCATACGGGTAAGGACGGAAGCTTTCTTCCCGACACCGTCACTGCATATTTTGTGGTATGATTCCTGACATAGTCACTGTAGAAATTATGAATTAATAAAGTTCAAGTCATTGCTCTTGTTGTTGGTTATGCTAGATGGTCTGCTAAATGTGTGGCTCTGTTTTTAATCCCCGTGTTCATTACTTAAACTTGGTACAGGATGATGTAAACGCTAAGGTTGAAGAGTTGAGGATGTTGTATCCTAAAAAGACACAACAAGAGCTCGAAGATGAAGCCCAAAATTTAATACACTATATAAACATATAGTGTATTTTTAGAAAAATATAAACTTTTTTTATTTTAGTTAAAAATTTAATTATGAATATTTAAAAATCTGATTAAGATCTAAAAATCAAACTAAAAACCAAATCTAATAACATGCATTTGTTTATTTAAGCCCAAAAATAAAAGCCCAGCGTCACATACCTTTAGGCCTTTCATATATAAACTAAAAAAAAAACCTAACTCCTTTAGTTTCTCTCTCCCGCACTTCCTGCCTCCCCAAGTCCCCATCAGAAAAAACATTACATCTCCATCTCAATACCAACCCAACACCGCTCCACCGACATCCTCATCGTCACCACTAGCCAAGACGCTCAATCATTACACCTCGTCATCGTCTCCTATATCAATCTCCTTAGCTTGTATGTAAAAGTAAATTGTAATCAATTAATTGGATTCTGTGTGTATGTAATCTGGTTTGATAAATTGAATTTATGAAAAAAATGATACGCTTGAAAAGTAAAATGGAAAGCTAAAAGATAAGGTCGAACAAAGTAATTTACTTCTTAAAATGCTTGTTGGACAGTTTTCTGATATTGCCAGATCTTCTTAACAAGACATCTCAATTCCTGGGTATGGCAAACCAACAGGTACTATTATTTTGACAATAAAACTCATATTAGACTTATTATTTTAACAATGAACTGAGGTATTAGGTTTTTGAAGATCTCTCTTGATTAGTTTGAAAATAACACTCATATTAGACTTATTTCAAGGTCGTCTTTATAAGAAACTGGGTAGAAGGTTTCTAAGTCTAGTAAGTTTGTCACAAACATGGAAGTCTCCTATTAGATCTCCCTGCAGCCATTTGATTAGTCTTGAATATGGCGTATATGCCTCTAAGTGCCACAGTATGAGTATATATATATATATATATAGCTTTTCAGTTATCTCTAAGAGAATTTTGTCTGTTGAATTAGATCCCAAATTTGGGATGCAAAACAAAAATAATAGATCAATAGAATTTTGAATCTGTAGAGGAAGTGAAAGTCATACATACGATTGAAACCTAACTGTCAATTATACATGCAGTACTTTTTTTTTGGTAGCTTAGAGTCATAGACTGATTTAGTTGAACCAAGCTTAAATCTTCATCTTTATCCCCTGTTTGGTTCGCAGGATTAGCTAAATGATTCTCTCTCCGGTGATTTTCAATGGTCCTTCCTGTAATTTGTCGAGTGATTTAGCAGTGTTTTTTTTTTTTTTTTTTTTTTTTTTTTTTTTTTTTGATTTAGTCATAATATCATTGATTTTTAGTCATAAAGTTTATAAAAAAGCTAAGTTCATCAGTATGTTTTTTATTTATTTTTAAGGAAAAGTTCATCATCAGTATGTTTAATATTTATATATATGTACTAATTACTTTTTAATTTTATCTTGAAGGTTGAAAAAGATAATTTGATGAATACAGGAGAATAAATTAGGGCGAATATTTGAGCATAAAAAACTAGCGACTACCAAGATATCATCCATCATCATCATCATCATCGATTTATCAAGTGCAACTAATTGGGGTTTAGTCTTTGTGTTATTATTATTATTATTATTATTATTATTTTTAGTTGAGGCTAATTAAAGTTTTTGTTTTTGACGATTATGTACTGTTGCTGATGTTTTTTTTTGTAATTATTTTGTTGGATAGTTTAATTAACTATGAACAAATTACAATGTTGACTAATCGCTAGCTAGCTAGCTTTATCTTTTAGTATATATATATTTATTATTATGTTTGAATTATATATATATATATATATATATATATATATATATATATATATATATATATATATATGTCTTTTTTTTGATAAATTTATTGTTGTGGTGTTTATTCGATTTACATGCATTGTAATTTTAATTTCGTAAAAAAAAATTACTATAAAAAAATATTGTGGACGCTTTTATTACGTTAATGACATTTGATTTGCATTTTTTAAAAAAATTCCCGCCAAAGAAAAATTGGATGCTAAAAAGCGTCGCCCAAATCAAAATATATGGTTAGCAAAAGACGTCAAAAGGACATATGGACACCAAGAAGCGTCCACAATCCTATTTATAGTAGACACATAAAAGCGTCGCAAAATTGAAAGATAGCGTGAACCAACCCATTTTTGGACATACCGTATAATAATCTGGACACCAAAAAGCGTCGTAGTGTCGACGCTTTTATTCGTCCAAAAAATTTCTCGACTAACTTTTTTTCGACGCTTTTGAAAAGCGTCGAGAATAAAATTTTCGATGCTTTTATACGTCCAAAAACAGCCTATAAAGCGTCGCAAAAACATGGAAATTGTAGTAGTGATTTACCACCCAAATTATTATAATAATTTATAACAAATCAAAATATTTCATGCCACAAACATATTATCAAACACAATATATACACCAAATCCAATTTTGTATGCTAATTATAAACTTACCTATTGAGAAGTCCAAAACGCTATTGATTTCAAAATTTAGTAAACAATGGAGCACAAACAGCAGCAATCAAGAGAAATAACAAACAGCAATCGATAAAGGTGTAGAATCACCCACAATGCAAAGAAAAGCTTCCCAAACAACGGACCCCATGACTGAAACCCGCTGTCAATTGCGTTTGAGATGCCTACAACTACTCCTACCAAGTTTATGATCAGAAGGGTTGTGGGTGGGATAAGCAGGGTTGTTTACTTAAACATGTATAGCTCTTATAATCACCGTCTTCATTTGAGGCCTTGGAGGTCACTGTGAAATTGGCGTCGATACCTGCTAGATAGCAGACCTTGACACACTGCAAAACAAAGGGGCAGAAACACCACCGATCACCCAGAATTGCTCGTTTCTCCACCATTCGTCTATGCCCACACCACTCCACCTCATCTCCAATATACCCGTTGAAAAGATGGATAAGAAGAGGGATATAAACCAGATAGTTGCCAGATTTGTGATCTGTCAACCAAAATCGACATTTTATATTCAGAATATCAGATCATAAGTTAAACTTTGTGTAGATGTTAGCATTATTAACAATATAAACTCGAGTCAATAGTTTGATCCCAAATGGGTATGGTATTGGTTTGACCAGTCCTACCTATGCTGCCTCTTCTTTAATCTTTACTGAGGTTGAAACAGCAGCAACAATATCTTATAAGAAATCCAATCTACCAATTTTTTCACCAAAATGTTATTGTGAGAAATAGCCATTGACTCAGTGAGATTAAATGCAGCCACCCAACTGCAAAGAGAAATAACAGGAAGGCAAAAGAGAATGCAAAGTAGTTAGGAAAACATGAAGTTGAGATTTCAAAGAGTTCAGAAGGGGAGGGGAGTTTAATGATAAAAAGGTTTCATTTCAGGACAACGTGATTGTACCAGTATAGCTTCCATCTCAGCACTTGATACTAGTGTTCGCTTGGGTTGGTCAGAAGCCTTCCCAGAGGCAGACAAGGAGGAGTTGCTGGAAGCTGACCTCAATAGGAATGCCTTCAAAGCATCATTTGTTGATGAGGAAGAGGATTTTGGCAAAGAGGAGAGGGGAAAAAAGGCAGATAAGATAAGTTAGGGGTTGAAAATTAACAGAGCAATAATTATCCAAAAGTTTAAAGTCAGCCAATAAGTTGAACATAAGTAGTCAAACCTTAAAATTTTCTAAACCATAAGACTATTGCTTAGCACAGCCTTTCAAACAATATCAATAGGAACAAGGTAGCCGGACTTAGATTAGATTTTAGTACTAAAATTTAAGTATAAATAGAGGCTAGCAAGAAAGACAGCACTAATCGAAGAATCATTCTCAATATCATCACTGAGATAAATAACAGCAAAGTAAGAAACTTGTATTCAGAGAGTAAAGGCGGATATTATAGATCAAACATCAAAATAGGAGGTTAAGAGCTTAAGATAGAAACTGGATCACAAAACTAACTTCAAGGATAAACTATAGCTTATAGATTCCTTTAGACTTTGCAATGGCCTAGTGGTCAAGGCCTAAATGCTAGAGTCTGAACTGCCAAGTCCCAGGACAGTTTGTAGATATAAAATTTTTGTACTATGTAAACAAACTGACTAATGCAGCTTCCATCAAAGATTCAAAGTTACACTCTTCAAATTAACTTGAAAATGACTACTGTAGACACCCATTTGTGTCTAACCAAAACCAAACCCCGTGATGAATACCTTTCACGTCTAATCATAATCGAATGAAGTGAAAGTGTGGAAAGTTTAGTGTTGCGGTTAGTTTTTAATTTTCTTCTTTCTCTCTGTTTTCGAAAACCTATTTTATGAAAATAGCCAATCCAGTTTAGTTTGGTCCATGAAAATGGTCCAATAGTAGTGTAGTTGGATTGGGCTCGAAAAGAGCTTTCCAATGATATATTATAAGCCCAATTCCGATGAATAATGAGGAAGTTATGGCCAAATTACTAAACTGGGTCCGGTTGGTTCTTACATATGGCCCAATGATCTAGAGGAGGGCCTATTATTAATTATCATTCCTAAAGATATTAGGATTGATTATAGTTTTCTAGAATACTCTAGAAGGTTCTTTTGAAACCTAATAGAGTTAGGATTGATAATTATGTTTCAAAGAGTTTGTAATTGAATAAAACTACTCCTTTTGAGAATCCTTGTTTTGTACGAGATGGAATATGTTCAAATATTATTTTCGTGCCTCATAATATTTATCCAAATCTTATATGGTTGGATAGATTTTGAAATTATCTTTCCAATGATATATTATAATATTAAATCCAATCTATAACGAAAAAGATATGAATGGAATACGAAACTCTATCCAAAACTAACACCCTTCCACTATTTCAGCCATATCTTTTTATCTACAAAAGATATTAATCTGATTCCAATTGGTTTAGAAATTAAACTTCAAGATATTTCCAATGAAATATTATATTCCTTATTTGGATTTGTGGATCAAAAGATATGATAAAAACAAAATCCACAAAAACTGTCTTGCAGCGCCAGATGACAAGCCTGTCGCGCGGCGACAGACTCTGTCACACGGCGACAAGCCCTGTCGCGCGACGACAAGTGCAGTTGTGGCGACAGCGTTGTATTTTATTCCTCTTCAAACTCCGATTCTTTTTTATCAAATCCGAACTATTTTCATTATAATTAGCGTCATTAGAACTCCGTTTTTTAATCAACTCTCAACCAAAACTCTCTAATTCTCTTCTCTCTCCAAGCTAAACCTTATTCTCTCTCTCCTTCTTTCTAAGCCTAGCCTTTTACAAACACAATTCCTCATACATTAGCACTAGACACACCTAGCATAGTTCGAAGTTGCCTTCGCCCTAGACGTGAAAGGTTTGATATTTATGAGGGTTTGGTCCCAAATCTAGTCTAAACTTTCTTAATTCTTTTTTCAATTATTTAATTTAATTGTTTGATTTTATATTTTCCTTGAAGTTACTAACGTGTGTATTTAGTTATTAGAAAGAGGTACGAGGTATCCAGTTAAGTACTTTAATTGTTTAATTGATATTATGATATAGAAATCATGTTTAGGTTGTTATTTTGATTCCTAGTATCATGTTAGGATGCTTTTCTTAGTATGATGTTTAGGGTGACAACAATAAGTTCCTTATATCAATTATGATTTCTATAATGCTTCCTATTTTCTTTCCTAATAGCATGTTAGTATCATGTTAGGGCTAAAGCTTTGATCTTTTATTGTTTAGTAACATGCTAGGGTTTGTTATTAATCTTGTTAGTATCATGCCTAGGATCTTGCTATTATTATGCTTTAACATGATTATTTTAATTATTATGATTGTTATAATTGTTATAATTATGATTATTATTGTTGCTTGATATTTATATTATTATTGTTATTGCTTGATCACACCTTTTATGCATGTTTAAAGGGAACTTGTACTTGTAATCACGCTTAATAAGATATTTAATAATCTTGTTTAGGTTAATTTGATTATAATTCAAGTGATCGCCAATAATAGATTTATTTGTGCATTAGTATTCAACCAACATAGATAAACAGCTTTAGGGTTAACCTATTGATTGCATGTTAGTCAGAAAGCGCACATGAATACGAGAAGAATAAAGTAGAGGCTTATTAATAGGGCAGGTTCTTTCTCTTTTAGATTGGATTTGTACGTTCATCCTTGAACTTTTAGTCTTGGTTCCAGACCTATTGGAGTTAACGATCTCCAGGATTGTTAAGGGGTGTAACCTTCACCCTGTGAACGGTTTACAAGTTCCTAAAACTTGTTGGAGACTCTTTTGCTCTAGCTTCCTTCTCTTTGGACGCCACCGTACTTTAGTGTATGATTACAGTGGGGTTCAAGTTTGGGGTAATACTTGAAATATTCCCTACAACTACCAACACTAAACAAAACCTTTTAGTACCTCAGCTCCTAACCTTTAAGATTAATAGGTGCAAAACCTTTGAAGTCAGGGCACTTTGGCATAGAGTAAATTGATCGCTAACCACCAGCATTCATCTTAAAACCCGTCAGAATATCTTCTGCCACTGAACCATAGATTCATCTAATCTGCATTTCAAGACAAAAGTTAGTGATCCCAGTCCAGGAAAAATATCAAACAAAGGCAATAAACCTTCCAAGTTTATTGTTGCTCATATCTTTGAGGTACAACCATAGACATCCCAATATGAAAGCAGATATATGAGACTTCAGACCTACAGTCATCAAGTTCGTAGACAACCATATCCAAAACTCAAGTTCGTAAATAATCCTATATACCGCTGTGTTTAAAAGGAGTGACCCATTTCCACAGATCATCCACATAAGGAAATATATACGTGTGTGTATAACTTCCTAGCATTATAAACAAGAAACAACCAAACATCCTTTATTAGCCATCAATCCCTTTGCGCACAAGAATTCACCCAAACAAAACACAAAGGACCACAAATTAGCAATAATGCAGACCTGAGTTAACAATGTTTCTTGCTCATTTCAGTCCCATCAACTAGAAGACTAATGATCATATGATGATACTTTTTCTAGCCTAATGTGCACGACATTATGATTAAATGAATGATCAAGTCATTGAATGACCAATACCAATATGTTAAACTTTCATAATTCAATCACGAAGTCGAGCATCCAAAACAATTCGATACGTGATTCCATTAACTACCCTCAACCCTTATTCCGAAGCATATAAATTTACTCTCACCCACTTATTCACCCCTTGAAATAGAGTTTCGGAAAATAAAACCGTACTCCTGAAATAAAGGCTTCTCAAAATTCTTATGTTTGCACCCAAATATTGCTACTAAACAATAGTGTATAATACTCATTAGCAGTTCTAGTACCATACAAATTCAAAGTAATCAACGACAGCATATATATATATATATATATATATGGATTTGTATGTATATATATATATATATATATACACACATACAAATCCAAATCAATTTACACTAAAATTCAAGCAAAAGACATACGAGTATGACAAGGATAGAAATAATCGCAACATAGACTAACCCAAATAAACAAGAAGCCGTTCCTCATCAATCCCTTGAAAGCACAATCAAAGATACAATCAACGTTACCCTTACATATATATTGATCTTCCACTACATATTTCATTTGGAAATGACCCACTAAGCTTATTTACTGAAGCATCAAAAGACACCAAATTTACAAATGAAGCACCAAGTTTTTTGGGAAGCTCACCTGATAGACTATTTTGAGAAAGATCAAGAACTTTTAAGGTACTTAATCCCAAAAAGGTTTCAGGAAAATCCCCAAAAAAAACCCCAGAATTTTGCAGAAAAATCTGCTCAAGCTTTTTCAGATTACCAATTTCACTGGGAATCTTACTCACATGATTACTTGTTGATCCTCGTTCCTAGTGTTTTATTACCAATTTTGCAGAAAAATCTTACTCACTAAATAGGTTGCGGCAGATTTGCAGGGCCAACTTTGGAAGGCTGTAACTCACAATCTAGGAATCGTATGAAGGCGTGCGACCTATTATTGGAAAGCTCTTCAAGTCTAGTTTCCAATCCAACTTGAATCACCTCAATCCAATCTTTAGAACCAGTGATATGGCCGAAACAATGCACAAAGGTCCTTTTTGATACTTTGCAAGCCTTCATTTTCCTTTGTTTCTTGGATTGGCTTGACTTGCGTGCTTGGCTTCCCTAACTTGGCTCCGTTAAATTCCTTGAATGCACTTGAGCTCCCTCCTTGATGATTAAATCCCGGGAAGCTCGACACACCTACAAAAAAAGTCAAACAAACGGAGAAGCGAGGGAAATAGTCGAGAAATGAATAAAATAATAAGAAAACCATTAAAAGCACACATTTGTCTAAACTAACACACAAACACGCAAATCAAGCATTATTCCCTAAAAACACGACATAAAATACTAAAAACGAGCATAGAAATATAAAGAAAACATAGCCTAAAGGTGCCATAAATGGCAGGAATCAAATTCCCCCAAGTCAAAATTTTGCTCGTCCTCGAGTAAAACAAAATCCAACCCAAGGGAAAAATGAAGACATTATTCAAGCAATGAAAGAATCAAGAAAATTACAGAAGATGAGAATATACACTAACTCACTTTCGTAGGAATCACAGTCAATTTTAGCAAATAGAGACAAGTCATTT